CTTAATTCCCATTTTTCTTTCAAATGTCGTAGAAAATATGAAAAACTTCTAGTAGAGATCAAAGTATTTTGTTGAAGATTTCAGGTATCTATAGGAAATTTGGGTATTGATCATTGTTTTATTTCATTAATAAGATAAATATAACCTTGATATTTAAGTAATTCCATAATATATGGATGTCGAATATTTTTTTTGATTTCGATAACTATGAATAATAAATTCTTCATATGAATCAATAAAAAATGATCAAGATTTTTATGACTTGATGAAGATTTTATATGTTTTAAAAAAATTTATCTGACAAAATGAAAGTAAACTATTTCTTTTTACAATTGTTCCTTTCTGGTTTATTTTGTTTACCTCTTCTTGGTCATTGAAAAGTGTAACAAGTGATGTCATGGGACCTAGTTGATGATTCATACAACTTAACTATCGATTTTCTAATTCAAACATTTCTACAGATGATTCAAGTAAACCTTTTTAAAGAAAAATAGAAGATTAGAATAAATTAGAAGAAACAAAACCTTCATGCGCACCTATTCAAAAATTGTTTTCATTATATGTTCAGCAAACCTATTACAAAGAATAAGCTTTAATTCAAACCAAATCTTTTCACCAGAAACATCTATGATTATACTTACTATATTTATTTAATCTAACGGACAATAAGAAATATTTTTGCGCCTTTTAATGTCATAACACATTTCTGAATAGTTTTTAATGCATCAGATGATAAACGACAGAAGAATCTAGAATCGAAAAAATAAATTTGTTTAATTTTACGAAAATATGTTAATTCAACCAAAAGTAACGTAAAATTCGAATAGAATTTTTTTGTAATGATCTAATAATATTTCCATTCAAACGAATTCGATTCATATTTAGATCATTAATTTCATTTGTATAATCATATGTAATTCTATGTTCATTCATCGATAAACTATTTATTGATAAGTCCCTTTGTTTGATATCAATAGATCAATTATGAGTAAACTCAATGGATACATTTTTACCATATGACAAATAATTGATCGTTTTTAACTTGTTACTTGAAATGTTCCTTTTTTTTTGTTATAACAAAATAAAATCAAAATCTGTAACTCTAATAAGTTATTTCACTTGCTCGTACAATCGTATCAACAACATATGTTAATATTCTAAAATGTTCAGCAGCTGGATAATCATATTCATTAAATAATGAAAAGAGATAGATTAAATGAGATGAAAATGAATGTTAATATTTAGATGGATTGAATTGATAATAATACACTGGTGATGACAGCATTTTCTGAAATTGATAAAAGAAGAAATAAGCACAAACATTTATGTTTTTCTTTTTTTTTTAAGTAAACTACATACATATTATTTGTCGATATTATCCGTGATAACAGGTTTTCTAAGATGAGCGAAAATTTCTTTATTGATTGATATGAATTTTTCAAACGTTTGTTATTTATATTCGTTTTCACGATGAAGATCAGAAAACAATTATTATATTGAATGACACGTTACTGAGTCGTTCATTTAGTATAGAGGAAACGTTTCGAAATAGCGATCATGTGCGCTCTATTTATTCTAGTCTCGGTCATGTGTGTCTATCATGAAATAAATCACTTATAACTTTGTATGTGTTCTAGATGATTTTCGTCATCCTTGGTTGCATCTTTAGTTTCACTGTGAAGCTGTTTTATGATTCTTTGACGAGGTATATTTCTGAATTAATGATGGTAACGCAAGGACATGCCCCTCTACAACATCCACTACCTCAATAACAAAATCCAGCACCACCACCGCCACACCAGCTCCATCGGCCTCATCGTGGGGAAGGAGATCGACGTTAATGATGTACAATAAAGAAAAAAATTAAAAGAAAAGAAAAATAAGTACAGAAATAAATAATGAAATAAAGAAATGAATAAAGAAAGAAAGAAAATATTTTATTTTATCAAAAGAAAATCGATTTAATCCAATATTGAAATGACGACTGTAGATGTGAATCTTACTTCGCTATATCCACACCCTACAACAAATCAGGAGGATGGTCAAATTATCACGTATTCATCATGAAATATAGTTTTCTTTGTATTTTCAAAACTAATATTATTTAATAAAAAAGAATTAAGAACATCTCGCTAGTTGTAAAAAGACTACTTGATAATACTCTTACGACATCTCATTTGTTTTAAAAACCAAAGATCTAAACATTGTAATTATTCAGTATAGGAATTAAGTACTTAGACTCGCTAAAATTTCAGAGTTTGCTTTTGCTCAATACAAGAATAGTTCATTTTTAAAGAACTTCGAAACGTCTGGTACATCCCTTACTATTCTCTCTTGGCAACCAAATATATTCGTAAAATGAGAAACAGTAATCAGTCTACTGGCAGCACTGATAGATTATGCTTAGTGTCAGTTCATTCTACCTAATAATGATACAAGTCTCGTTTGAAAAGTATTTTTTTCAGCTGAAGAGATTCGATTGTTAGTATTAATAAATGGACAATAGTTGTTGCATGATAAAAATATTCTTTTTTTTCTCTAAAGAAATATTGTTATTGTTTTATTCAGACCATAGGAAAGAATAATAATATACTGTTGGTTTTACTAATAAATATTTATTTTATTTAAGTGGAATATGTTAAGCATCATTATGCAGTTGTATTTTATGAAAATGAAATATCTTTCCGACCTATTGATAAGACTAGTTTTTACTAATCTTCCAAATGCAAATCGATATTAATAATGTTGATATAAAGAATAATTATTTTTCGTATGATGAAATCACGATTTGATATGTTAATGTGATGTAATCATTAATAATTCACATGAAAATCGATTTTATCCAGCTATACTTATTCATATTTGTTATGGTATAGTTCACATATATTTAATAATACTTTCAGTGCTTCTTTTTCTTCCTCTTCAAGTCTTTTCTCTTTTATTCATGTTGCTTTCTAAGCAGTTAAGGCTTTTTCTTTATCATTCGCATATATATAATATAATGACTGTTTGGAAAGTAAAATATCGACATTCATTATCGATCAATTAACAATAATCAACCCAAAAGCACAAGGCACTCTGAAAATTATTGCATCATCAGGCGTTTTACGATTCTCCTCACTAATTATTTATGTAAAACGTTCGTTAAATCTAAGGCAAACATAACAATATCAAAGTCAAAGAACTTGAAAACATCGTTTCTCTAGCATTAAGATATTGAAGATCATGCGTGTTTTCAACTTTGACCTCATCATACTTGCTACAAGTTTAACAAAGTTTCACGCTTGAATAATCAGTAAAGAGTACGTTACAAAGTCTGACAGATAAACTAATATTTAGAACATCTTATTATACTTTTAGTGTTGGACTACTGATAGAAGTAACAAACAATATTCTTACAAATTTAAAACATTTCATAATTCTAGAGAGCATAGTCATTGTATAGATTATCACTTGCATTTATCAATTCCACTTTTAACGAGCTTTCATTTGACATAAAATTTATTGTTTATGCAATTTGAAATCACAGCGCTTTCTACTTAAAACATATTTTAACGTATTCTGTATAATTTAACAAGTATTTAAGCAAGTAATTTGTGATTCAATTAAATCAAGAAAATTTAAAGCAGATATCTATAACTTTTTATTTTTTTTAACTGCAGCGAAAATTTTTGTAATTGACAATATCAGCCAAGAAAGGCTATCGAAAATGACAGAATTCACTGTTGCAAGCTATTTTCGATTTATCTCGTATAGATGGAAGATGAAAAGAAAAGAATGTATAATGATGTCATCATATAGTAGAAACAATAGTTTGCTAGTTATAAACAGCCTATATGTATACTATACGAAGAACAAAAAACATTCAATGGTCGTGGTATATATGTCACTATGTAATAGTGCCGATGTAATTGCACAATGTCAGTGAATTCTATCATAAAGATAGTCTATAGAGAATTTACTTTTGCAGTTTTCTGCAAAAGTAAATTCTGTCATTTTCGATAGTCTTTCTTGGCTGATATTGTCAATTACAAAAATTTTCGCTGCTGTTAAAAAAAAAAATAAAAAGTTTTATATTTCAAAGTCGTTCATTTACTTATATATATTAGATATCTATAACCTTCAGCATATTTCTCTGGAACAAATATTTTGCTCTTTTCTGTTTGCGTTGAGATTTAAGGTCAATATTTATCCAAGCAGTCATGACTACGATTAAAAAAATATTCGTTAGACGTGTTACAAACGGCACAAAGCTTTTACAATCATTTTTCTCGTCACATAAAAAAAGAAAAGTTGACAATACGGCGCTTTTACATCCTCAAGATAACCAAACTGAAAAAGAACACTAAATATTTATAAATTTATATTCCAAATGAAAAGAGCTTTGGTAACTTATTTCTAGTTCATCCAACATAAAGTATGACGTGATTCCCACGATAGAGTTCTGATACAAATTTTAGCTCCTATGGAGTTTATCTTGAACATGCCATACATGAGAACAGACTATAAAGTTTTGTGAATGATAAATAGAATGAGTTAATTATAAACATCGTGATAGTTTTTATATTACGTCGAGCGCATAAATTAAATTAAATTAGAACTTTTTAACAGAAGTATTTATGACACCTCTAAACTACAATGATTTAAATGAAATACACTTCCTATTATAAGTATGACCATTTGCGACGGAATTTAATTCAGTACATACGACTGTAAAATTCTTTTTTTTCTTTTCTGTTGTACAGAGTACACAAAAAAGTAATTGAAGAATAAGAGTCACTTCAAAATGGGTAGATTGTATATCTTGTATAATTCAAAAATCTTTGATAAACATAGGCGCAACACAAGAAAAATCTCTTTTATAGAGAGTAAGAAAAAATAAATTGGCTTGTTCGACTTTTTTCAGTCTAGGAACTGTTTTATCTTTCTTTTTGTTTTAGTTTTTCGATTTTAACTGATTTAGTATTTGCAAGAAATAACAGTAATCTTATACACATATTATGCATTACGAACCATCAACTAATGATAAGAAATTTAATATTGCTATCTCTGATGTTACATGTCAATATTCACCAATGTCTGAGTTGGCTGAAATCAATCGTACACGGATAACTCTTCTTCGTTTAATTTTTATGCAATTTGTAAGTTATTTTTAGAGAAATGATCAAATAATTTTGGGTTCCATAAAAAAAAGAAAAAAGTCTTCAACCAATTCAATAATTTTCTGACAAGGAAATTTTGTCAGATGCTAAAAATGTTTTTATTTGAGTTTTGTCTATAAGTAGACGATGCATAGATTAGAGAAATCCTAAGAGAATATAGACACAAGTTGTGATTGGACTGAAATACCAACATTTTACTACTATTTTCGTGCAAGATTCCACTTTTGTGGTAGAATCAAAGTTTCGAATTTAGATCTGAAACTTTGCTCGTATTGAGACTTCAATCAGGTAAGCTTGCCTGCAAAGTTTCAGAACTTTCAAACAAATCATCTCTGAGATATGAATTTTTCAAAATACCCATACATAACAGGATATCTATAAAAAAAAACTGTCGTTACGTTAACATACTGATCCATTGGATATAATTGTGCAAGAAATAATAGTAAAATGTCAATATCTGAATCAAATCGCAATAGCACTCATATCCACTTCAACTCTCTCTAGTCCATCGATGCCCTACTTGTAGACTAAAGTTTAACTCAAAATCTTTTTTGGCACCTGAGAAGATTCACTCGATGTCTATTTCTTTTAGTTGAATTTTATGTGAAATAAATAAAATCTTCTGATATCTACTTGGATTAAATTGTTTTGAAATTCTATTGCTGATACTTTCAGGTTCTTTCTATTATATGCATTATTGGTGTTATTTATTCATACGCATTTGGTTATATATCAGGATTTGAATCGTACAATATTGTTCTTCAATTCTTGCCACTTTTATCTTTCATCTGTTTTTGTTTTGGTTTAATTGTTGTCGATCGATATCATGTGAAAGGTTTACGTCTAGTATGTTTTATTTATTTTATTCTTATCAATTAATTTTACTTAGTTATTGATATAGTTTGCAAAACTAGTTATGGTTGATTTGATATTAACTTATTTAAGTATACTAATTATTATCATAATACCAATATGTTTGAAAAAATATGCAATTGGTATTATTCCAGCAATTATTGTTATGATGAGTTATCTGATGATATTCAGCATTGTTTCATTTGTTCCGGTAAGTGTCATTTTTATGTGAAAACGTTTTTTAGATGTAATTATCTTTGTTTTTTTAGGGATACACTATTCGTTTAGCTTATAAATTATCAAATTTACTAGATGATAACAAACATTGAACAATCAAATAAATCAAGCTGTTCGTCTAATTTATAACTATGAGTTTTTTTCTTGTTTTTCCGGCAAAGTTTTCTCTCGCAAATAAAATATACTCGTATTCTAGATGGGTGTTCTTTATAGCTCTTCAATAAAAATACTTTTCACAGTGATTTAGTGTGTATCCTTTGCTTGATATAATATACTAATAAAAAAATTTTACAACAATAACATTGCTTATTTTGAGAAAAATAATGCAATTGTGTTCAAAATAGATAATACACGTAATTGATTGCCTTGTTTTTCTGATATTTCGAGATGGTTTCAACAGATTGAGTTGTATCTTTTGTCGAAATGTAACTTCATTTTTGTAGTTGATATGGTCAAGATATCAGTTCTCTATGTCATGTATCTTTTCTGATAGACTAGAAATACTAAAACTGATGTGCTGTGATTATGCTCAAAATTGATCAAATATCACACGCAAAAATTTGAGGACATATTAAAAATCTCATATTTTATCGTTTGAATCGAGAAATTGCATTTTTTTAATCATGCTTTGAATAACAAGTAACCTGAAAATTCTTTCAAGCACTTTTCAAATATGTTATTCACTAAAATTTGCATTATGCAAATCATGCTATGTCTCAAATAAAACGTGTTGACTAAATCGGAAGTAACTCAGGTAATCGTAGTATTTATGAGAACGCGCAAATGTAGTCGCGTCTCAAACACTCGTATTGTTTCGAAAATCAATCTACAATGCGAATTTTGTTGATATCCATCTTCTTGCTCTTCGAGTCTGCTGATAGACTGGCATACGGATATAATCTTAATGTGGATTTGGCTCGTGGATTGACTGGAAGGCTTTTGACAAATGCTAAAACGCAAACTAGTGATAGTTTGCCTTTTAGCGAGTATCCTGAGGACTGTGCAGCCATCTATTTGAATAAGGATAGTTCACATACTAAACCATCTCAAAGTGGTGTCTATGAAATTTGGCCTAGACAAGGTGTTCGACATGTTTTTATAAACTTTTCATAAATAATCTGTGTTATTATAAATAGGAAAACCGATCAAAGTGTTGTGCGACATGGATACTGATGGTGGTGGATGGACTGTGTTCCAAAAACGAGGTGACTGGAAACCTCAAGAAAGTTTTTATAGAGCATGGCTCGAGTATAAACGAGGTTTTGGCGACCTACAACGACAATTTTGGTTAGGAAATGATCGTTTATCAATTTTGACAAATCAAAATTCATATCAGTTGCGAGTTGATCTCGAGGATTTCGATGGACAAAAGAGATTTGCCGAATACAATTCTATTCGAATATCGAATGAAGCTGACAAATATCGACTGATACTCGGATCTTATGTTACGGGTGACGCGGGGGACTCATTAAGTAATCATAATAACATGCAGTTTTCCACTAAGGATCAAGATAATGATCCTTCCACTGGATCATGTGCACAACTCTATAATGGGGCTTGGTGGTATAATGACTGCCATAGTTCTAACTTGAATGGAGAATATTTGCGTGGAAATCATCCAACAATATATGCTGCAGGCGTCAATTGGTTATCATTTAGAGGTTACAACTACTCGTTAAAAAGTACAGAAATGAAAATTCGCCCTACTTGGTACAAGCCTTGATGCTTTTTTTATTTAGCCTCGAAATAAAAGATTATTTTTTATATAGGATTCGAGATCAAATAAAAAAACTATTCGACACCTGTCTAGAGAGAAAACATCAAAATATGGCAAGATATTTGAAGATTTTGACAATTTCAAGCCCATGACATCAACAAAAAATAGGTTTGCTTTCACGAGCATGTGTAGATAGAATACGGAAATGGTTGTAAATGACAAGAGGATGTAGATAGATGTGTAGGTGAGGTTGGTTTTGGGCGCAGATCTACCTATGGTTATGCAGTGTAGGAATCTGCATAGGTGTGTTGAGTGTTCTTTGAACTGTAGATGAGTCTCTGTGTATGCAGAAGCCACCTAACCACACTCTTTGTTTCTCCTCTGATCTGAGTCAAAACTTTCGGTGAATCCTTCCCTTATACAATGCTTCCTTCACGAACTGAGTTGAGTGTTTTCGTGACGCTCTCAATGGCAAGACAACTAGATGAGTTAATGGAGAGTGCATGAGACAATAGAAATATCTAAAGATATCATCTGATGAGAATAGCATTTCCCACTAGTCGAGAGTTTATTTCCAATTAGACGAGAATAGAGATATATATATATATACAAAAGAATAAGCATTCAGGGACGGATATTTATATAGCTTGCAGAAAACATTCGAAACGCGTTGCTTCTAGTCATTATCAGTTATTGTTATATTATTGTTTTTGTAGTATTATATTACAAATAAAACCACAAACTATGAAAAAATTATTTTTCTTACTACTTTCGACTATTTTATTTCATTGCTCAGATACTCATCTTCTTTCGTTGTCTAGTTCTTTGGTTCTTTTCCATTGGCCTTCATTTATTTATTTCTAGAAACTCTTAAATCCATTTACTTATTTCTTGCGCAATTCTCTTTCATTTATTCAATATTTATTCATTCTTTATATTAAAATTTGAAAAAAATTATATTAAATTAAGAACTAAAGAAATCTATTTATTATTGGCTATCTTTTCTTGTGTATTATTGGTGTTGCTTATTTATTGTTAATTCGTTTAATTTAACTATCTATATCGACCCAAAATCATTTGGGAGATTTTGTTTTAAGTATAACACTCTTTGAAAGCTGAGTTGATATGAGTGCTTATCGTCAATGGTACAGTCAGTATTTATATATAAAATTTATCTATAAATGTTGAGTAATTGTTCAACTGGATTCATCGCAAGTCGACCTAGGTAACTTTTGTCTGTCAAAATTTTTCGAACGACCATTGAGATGCAGTTGTTGTCATTCAAACATTTTTTTAAACAGTCTGAACTCATGCAAATAATAAGAGCAGAACACAAACTACATTCTGATAGCTATAACTTTTTATGAACCAGTTCTCTATTACGTGATGTGCCCATTTTATGATAGCTATTAGGCGATATTCATGTGAACTCTTTCTCATATACCTATAATGAGTGTGACTTTTATTTATTTCTATGTTAGAAAATGTATCCTGAAAAATCAAAAGTCTTTTTTTTGAAATTTGAAATAATCTACAACCATATGCAACTTTTCACATTTTGCCGACTATGATATATGGAAAAACAATGCTCATTATAGGAATAAGAAACAGTTCACATGGATATCGCTTAAGATCTATCGTAAAATAGGCGTATAACCTCATAGACCATTTATTTTTACAAAAGTTATAGCTATCATAATGTAACTCGTATTCTGCTCTGTTTATTTATAAGAGCTGAGACTTTTAACAAAAAATGTATGGAGGACGACAACTTCATGTGGATGGTCTTTCGAAACATTTTGATCGACAAAAGTTGACTTATTCGACTTGTCATGGGTCTAGTTGAATAATTACTCTACATTCATAAATGAATTTTTCTGTAGATATAATATACATACTGACTAAACTTTTAACGATAACCACTCATAATAACACAGCTTTCTGAGCTATACTGAATACGAAATAGTCCAAAACATATTGCTCATTATTGTATACATTTTAACAAATTCCCGAACAAAAAACAAGGAAACTTCTTACATGAAATTGCGCCATCTATGTCGAATTTGGAAAAATTCATTGTCGTAATAATTAAAAATTACGTTTAAAAGTCATTTATGCAATCACTTGTAAACCTAAGTTTTAATTTCAGTAACAAATATATTACACTAGCGATTGAATATCATGTCCATCAATACAATTTTTTTCCTTTCTTCTTGTCATGCTTTTTTTCAATTCATTCATTCATTTTCTTTGATTCAATGAAAAAGAACACATTGAATAAAAATTTTATCACTCATAGATAAAACTTCAATATGCGATCAAAACTTTTTTCAATGATTTTATAAGTATAACAGCAAACAGATGTCCATCTATTATAACTTTTCCTAGAATCTGTACATGTACTTTTACTATATTCGAACCAAAGAATAGAAAATCACATAAAATGTCTCGTGCTGCTTTTCTCATATTTATTACTACTGTTCTTCCAAGTGCAATTTATACAATAATATATCGACCAGTTGTTCTTATGCATGGTATCGTTGCACCTGCTTCTGATATGAATGAAATCGCTGATTGGCTTCGAACATCTTTTTCTGGAATTTATGTTGTGTCAATTGAAATAGGAAATGGTTTTGAAGATTCATTTTTATGGTCATTAGATAAACAAGTCGAACATTTTTGTACTACAATTCGTAGTGATGTTCATCTTCAACAAGGTTTTAATATGCTTGGATTTTCTCAAGGAAGTCTTATTGTACGAGGTGCTGTTGAACGATGTTCATTTCCTGTTTATAATTTAATAACATTAAGTGGTCTTCATCAAGGAGTATTCGGTATACCTTATATTCTAAAATTTCCAACTCGATTTCGTCAATTAATAACAAAATATGCATATGAAAAATTAATTCAAGATCGAATCAGTATTGCAAATTATTGGCGTGATCCAACACAATTAAATAAATATATATCTCAGTGTCATTTTCTTCCTGATATAAATAATGAACGTGAAACACTTAATGAAACATATCGTATAAATATGTTAAAATTAAATGCATTTGTTATGACATATTCAGATATTGATGAAATTGTAACACCAAGAGAATCAGGTTGGTTTCTTGGTTATGCTTCACAAACATTAAAAGTTGAAACATGGAATAATTCAAGACAATTTACTGAAAATCTTATTGGTATGCGAACATTATGGGAACAAGGAAAATTGCATATATTTATCTCTCATACACACCATCAAGATACTCCACATGCATCAAATAGAGATTTTTTTATGAAAAATATTTTTCAATTTTTTAATAATACATTTGCATATTCTTTTACATCTTAGAAAAATTTTATACATTTCTTAAATACGAAATATATTTAAAAACAAATAAATATGTTAACATTTATTTAAGTTTTCCAAGTGCTAAACGATAATAACGACCATGAAGAGCAAGTAATTCTTCGTGAGTTCCAGTTTCAACTATAACTCCATTATGTAAAACACAGATCATATCTGCATTTTGAATTGTTGATAAACGATGTGCTATTGTAATTGATGTTCGATCTTTTTGAGCATGATCTAATGCTTCTTGAACTACCTTTTCATTTTCACTATCCAATGCACTTGTTGCTAAATTATTATATATATATATATTATATAATAATAATTGATTGTTTCAATTATCCTACCTTCATCAAATAACAATATCTTGGGATTTCGAATTAATGCTCGAGCAATTGCTAAAAAATAATACAAATTAGTTTTCTTCTTATAAACTCTTTTCAATATGCTTTTTTTTTTTACCAATTCGTTGTTTTTCTCCACCTGATAATTGAGTTCCTTTTGCACCACAATTTGTATCATATCCCTGAGAACAAGATATTTTTGTTTGTTTTGTAGAAAGAAAAACTTAATTCTATAACTTACATTTGGAAGTTTTTGAATAAAATCATGTATATTAGCATTTTTAGCTGCTTCAATGATTTCTTCCATAGGAATATTACTTCGACTATTATCACCATAAGCAATATTTTCTTTTATTGACATATCAAATAAAACTGGTTCTTGTGAAACAATACCAACTATAAAATATTCATGTTAAATAGAAAAAAAAAGGAAGAAGAAGAATGACATGTATAACATACTTTGTGATCGATACCATTGAAGATTAAGACTTCGAATATCTTTTGAATCAATTAACTATAAAAAGAAAATAAAAGAGTGCACATATGACAAGAAATGAACTAACCAATTGACCAACATTTGCATCATAGAAACGTTCGATTAACTGAATAGTTGTTGATTTTCCACAACCGGATGTACCTACATAGATAAATAGATTTATTGAAATTAAAGATATTATAAAGATAAAAAAAAACAAAGCTGATGTTTACCAACGAGTGCAACTTGTTGACCTATGAAAAGAAAAATTCATATGAATGTTTGAGTGAATGAAAAGATGACATACCAGCCCGAATTTTAAGTGAAAAATTACGAAGAATAACTGATTCAGGTCTGTTTGGATAAATGAAATGAACATTAACAAATTCCAAATTTCCATCAAAGTTTGGCTAAAATAAAAAGAAAAACAAAAATATCGATATCATCGAAATTTGTTGATATTGACTCACTATTTCATCACCATCAGATGAATTATTATCAATAGATGGTGTTCGATTCAATAGTTCTAAAATTTTGTCAGCAGCTTGAATAGCTTTGCTATAATCTGGAGCCCTAATGAATTAAGTAGAAAAAAAAAACAAGTTTATATATGATTTTCGTCTAATCATTTCGAATATTTACAAAGATGCTGTTTGTCCAACACTTTGTGCAGCAAATATAATACAATTAAAACACCTAGAATAAAACAAAAATTATCACTATTCTAGAGATAATTTTATTCTTACAATAAAAGAGATTCAAATGTGAGTTCATTCTTCTGTACTAAATAAGCACCTAATCTGAACAATGCTGCTAAACTAAAATACATAACTGAGTTTGATAATGAAAAGAATAAACCAAAGAGAATTGCTCGTTTTATAGATGATCTATAATACAAATATTATAATTGATTCTCAATTAAATTTATAAAAGAATATATAATACTGATAAGGTATTTCAAGAAGTAAACAATATTGTTCGTAAAAATAATCTTCTTTAGTTAATTGTACAACTGTTCGAATATTTTGTATAGATTCTACTGTTACCTAGAGAATATATATATATATATAAATTATATACTAGTCATGATCTAAATAATTATCTAACCTTGCCAGCATTTTCCATTGATTTTTTATCTTTACTAGCAAATCCTGTCATTAAATAATTTTGTAAAAAACCTCCAGCAATCATAAATGGAACAAAGGCAAGAACAAGTAATGTCAATTGCCAAGCAAATGCAAAACTAATTAGAATACCAGTACCAAGTGCAGCTATATTTTGTAACATTACTCCAATACGAATACCACTTGCTCCTTGTACAGCAGATGCTTCTGTGGCTAAACGTGTACATAATGCTCCTGTATTGTTATCTGGATTATCAAAATAAGCAATTTCTTGACGTAAAATAGTACGAAATGTTTTAGATCGTAGTCTTTTCGTTAGTGCTTCACCTGAACAAGCAAATAAAAAACTCTAAATAAAAGATAAAGAACAAAAAAACATATTTCGAATCATTAAAATAGAAGAACGTACTTGAATAAACATCGTAATTAATGTTAGAACACCTAAACCAATAAACACAAGTATATAGACTAGAACTCGATGTTTTTGAACATCTTTATCACATTCTTGAAAGACCTTGTTAATAAAATGAATATTTTAATATAAAGATTAGAATAACATGAAAAAAAAAAGTAAAACCTACCGCAGTTAACTTGCTTAGAATAACACCAAATACTGGTTGAATACCACCATTACATATACATGCGATACATCCAAATATTATTAATATCCATTCTGGTTTGTTCATAACTAATATTTGTAAAGCAGTATTAGGCTTTTTTTCCTAAGAAATCATATTGATTAAAATAAAACTAATTTTCAATTTTACCTTTTTCTTTTTTATTTCATTATCTTCTTCTTCTTCTTCAACTTCCTTTTCATCTGTTAATGAATTCTTTTTATAACTATTTAACCTATTTATACTTGATGCTACACTAGCAACAGTTGAACGACGTTTGCTTTCGACACTTAATTGAAATTCTGCAATTTGACTGGGTGCCATTGATTCACTACGTTCGAATCGTTCAAGAGCTAATTGTTCTTCTTCTTCAGCTTGACGTAAGTTTTGTTGTTCAACAAGAGCAAAATAAGTTCCACGAGCATGCATCAATGATTGATGATCACCTTCTTCTACGACGTTACCTTTATGCATTACAATAATTTTATCAGCATTACGAATTGTCGATAGACGATGTGCAATCACTAATGTTGTACGACCTAATAATAACAATGAACAATATATCATTATGAAAATATTTCAATTGAACTTCTAGTCTACCTTCAGCAGCACGATCCAAAGCGTCTTGAACGATTTTTTCACTTTCATTATCAAGTGCACTTGTAGCTATTATAAAGAAGACCGAAAAATATAAATATGAAAAGAAAAGTTCATGAATGTTTACCTTCATCAAGAAGTAAAATCTTTGGATCTCGAATCAATGCTCGAGCAATGGCTATGAACAAGTTCATAAAAGAAAAGATAAACAACATTCTCATACATATTTTTATTGCAGGCTTACCAATTCTTTGTTTTTGTCCACCTGAGAGTGTAGCTCCACGTTCACCTACTCGAGTTTCATATTTCTACAAATACACACAGAAACAATAGAATTGATAAAGCAAAAAAATAAATAAATAAATAATAAGAAAAGAATTCATATTATTCATGTATCACTTACATCAGGTAAAGTCATAATAAAATCATGTGCATTAGCCATTTTTGCTGCTGTATGAACTTCTTCATCAGTTGCTGTATCTCTCCCAAATAAAATATTTTCTCGAATAGTTGCTTGAAATAGAATTGGCTCTTGACTAACAACACCAATATGTTGTCTTAACCATTTTAAATTATATTCAGTAACTTGATGGCCATCAATATGAACAGAACCTGAGTCAGTATCATAGAACCGTTGTAATAATTGTACACATGTTGATTTTCCTGAACCAGATGATCCAACAAGAGCAATCGTTTGACCATGTTTGACATCAAATGAAATACCATTAAGAATTTTAACACCAGGTCGTGATGGATAAGAAAAATGAACATTTGAAAAATCAATATCACCAATAAGATCATCTTTTTTCAGACCAATTTCTGAATCACTATTGATTTCAGATGGCTATAAAATGAATAGGTTACGAATAAAATATTTTTATCTGAATGATATTCAATTATCTACTAACTGCATCAATAACTTCCCATACGATGTAAGCAGCAGCTCGAGCTTGAGCTAAAGCTTGAAAATGTGGACTAGCTTGACCCAAATTAAAAACAGCAATGATAATTGAAAAGAATACCTACAAATTATAATTTTTTATTTAAAAGACAATGATGAAAATGACTGTAAAAGCTTTTTTATGGGGAAATATCTAAAGATCATTTATCTCAATGGCAACAATACGATATTGATCTATATTTTTTTAAACAAGTATCCAGAAAGCTTTTCGAAACATGCGAAAAAAATTATCAAATTTATGTGAGTAAAATTAACTTACAATGAGAATAGTTCCAATATTATATCCTTGTTCTCGAATTAATTTTGCTCCATACCAAAATGCTATTGTCAATATATACATAATATAAAAAATAAGTTAATGATTAGTATAAACTACATACCTAATGCATAGGAACAAAAGATTATACACCAGACAGATCCCAATGTTACACCATTGATTACACCTTTCTTTATACCATTTCTTTTAGCTTCGTCAAGATGCTGCTCATATCTATCAGAAGCAAATATATTATTGTAAAAAGAAAACAGAACCATGATGAAATAGTTTATTATTGAAATCTAACCTTTTCTCTTCTCGTTCTTGTCCATTATAAGATAGCACTGTACGAATTGAACTAAAGACTTCTTCAGCTATTGCTCCTGCTTTACCATAAGCTTTTAATTCCAATGCTGTCAAACCGGAAGCAAGCTATCAATAGATATCATAATGGTCTATTTTGATTTTTTTTCTTTCGAATATAAACAATTTACTTTGGAAAAGAACATAGCTGACATAAATAGTAATGGAGCCATAGATAATACAACTAATGATAGTTTCCATCCTTTAACAAAACCTATATAATAAATATATTAAGAATAATAACTTTCTATTCTTATAAAAAGCTTGCCAAGAATCAATCCAGTAAAAAAAGCAGCAAGAAATTGTGATGTTGAACCAAGTTTATCTCCGAATCCATCATGAATTTTATCTACATCATCTGTCAATTTCGTATTAAGTTCACCAGTTTTATGTAAATCAAAATAAACAATTTCTTTTCGAAGAATTGATTGAAATAATTTTTTTCTAATAGTTTTTGTTTGTCTTTCAGCTGCCATACTCCAAAATACGATTTGAGTACAAGCCAATACAATACTAATACAACCAATAATAACTAAATAAATTGTTTGCTTTTGTATTTCACCTTGAAAATCAAACGTAGTTTGATTAAAATGACAAATACTAAATAATTCAAAAAAAAAAAATAATTATTATCATTTTTAAAGTTTCTTTTCTTTTTTATTTGTTTAAACATAGACTTACGAAAATGCTGATAAATAATTCGATGCTGTTAAGTGATAACCTTCTGGACAATAGTCAATAGCAAGAGCTGTAAAATTGAGTTCACATAAAGTAGTAGATCGATCAGTAAATGAATTTAGAAGATTGCCAAATATAAGAACCATAATTGGTAATAGAACACCATTACCTAGACCTCCGAGAGTACCAATTAAGATATAGATTTTATCGAGCATTGTAGCATATCGAAACTAAAATAAATGTTACAATTTTTTTATTACAAGAAAATAAAACATTAGCTCTTACCAAACTTGCAAGGCTCACAGCATTCGCAGGTTTTTTATCTTCTTTTTTATCATGAAATCTTTGAAAGAACTTTAGTTGTTTGGAATGTTCTTCATTATTCGAAAAAGTAACACTATAAAAAAACAATAATAATAAAATATCAAGTATATTGTTGATCATACTTTGCATCACTAGTTCCATTTTGATTTTCATCAATAATCTCTTCTGTTTTATTAGATACCTCTGTATCATTTTTATCTCTCATTGTGCAACTGGTTTTCGAAGTATTCAAAACAAGCAGATGTGAATGATTTGCTTATACATCATAGTTTTCGTTCTTATAAATATTTTATCGACCGTAGTTTTTCACACTTCAATAAACACGCAATATGATTTAACCAAAAACTCATATTGACGCATCTTAATATGCGTATACAATATGACGTGTCCTATTATTTTTTTCATATATTTTATGAATGTAGTTCAAGCAAGTACGCACTCAAAGAATGGTTAGTATGTGACCTTTTAAACGGAAAAATCGGTCTAATATTTTCGATTAAGAAAGCCATGGCCTAATTATCAATAAATAATTATTACTTTTGTGAATGATTTAAACATATTGAGTGAGAATTAAAGTATAAATAAAAAAAAACAACATATGTTTGAATTGAATTTTCATGTGATATTTGCTTATTCCTAGAAATATCAATAGTAAATAACTTATTTTTAATATTGCACAATTATATACTTTATGTATAGCTTTCGATACTTGTTTATCTATGTCAATTGGTTCGAAGTATTGATGTCCTCAAAAATATTTAATGAAAAACAAGATTTTATCTGCACATGGCTAGATAATTAAGATACAATATCAAGAAATAGAAGGTTTGTACAATGGCACATGTGTATCCTTTTGAATAAAATAAATAAGAGGAACGAAAAATCGTTGGTTGCATACATGAAATAGAAAAACAACTACGTCAAACGAAATCAATTTACTGTATGATATTTGACATTCCTATCAATTAGATTTTAATTGTTGTCTATTTTTTGTTTCGGATAATTTTATTTTCATCGCATTCAAAAGGAGAAATATTAGCTCTGTTGTTTTTGAAAAATAAACATTTACGTGATTCGGAAAAGTGTAATCTATACTGAAGGATCAATATTAATCAACATGATTTAACATAAGTAAATTTTTTTCTTTTATTAAATTTAATATCATGAACTAGTAAATAAAAAAACAACTAATGCTATTTTATGTCTCAATGAAACACTTGTTCAGATATTAAATTTAAAACAACAATTTAATATACAAATTTAAAAAATATTAAGGCAACAAATTACATTCTTATCTAGATTTTTCAGTTACTGTCTACTTCCTTTTTGTATCATGAGGAACGATTGACTTAAGAAAGAAAAGAAGAAAAAAAAAAGTAGAAGTTGCTTGTGTTTTTATTTTTACTTGTATATTAAGTCACTCATTTTAAATGAGAACTAAAACAAGAAGCACGAAAAAAAAATGAAGATAAGAGGTTTGAATGTTGCAGAAAAGAAAAAGAAGACTAGGCATGTACCTAAATCATTCAAGTCGTGTTTGGGTAAATCAAAAAAAAAATGCTCTAGTCTACTGAACCATGTTACACAACGTTTTTTGTATCAGTCGAAAATTGAAATAGAAGAATGATATTAGATAATGTCAAAATAGACATTTCGGAAACATTGTTAAACTATGTGCCAGAGTCAATCAAAAACCCACCTTCAATGAGTTTGGATTGTTGTTCAGATTCGTTTCAATCTCTATTTAAACCAAAGAGGTTCATCAGATCATTTTCCGTTTGATTTTTAAAGGTAGATATCTTACTATGCATGCGACACGACAACTTATTGTTATAATTCATAATTAAAGAAATAAACTTGAAAGTCTTCTTCGACAACTTTGATCAAAAAGATGTGTTCTATTAATCAATGTTCGATTTTCTAGCATGATCTAATGGGTTCTTAAGTTAAGTTTTCATTTTAGAAAATCCATCGTTTCATTGTAGCTTATATCTAGTTTTAAAATGACAAAAATTAATCTAAATCACAATAGTGAGTTTAGCATATATTGTTCTTAGACCACACTCTCTAAATTAGCCACCGTAAAACCACAAAGCAACATCGATATAGCCTTAGAAAATTTCAGTTTAAGTCGATGTTTTTGATACTCATTTGTGTATAGGGTGAATTCTCGTTTCGTCGAAACGCTAATTGATTTTCTTGTTTCGTCGAAAAATTTGTTAGAGCTTTTTTCATAGTGTTCTCGTTTCGTCGAAAATAAAATTACGACTGTTCTCGTTTCGTCGAAAAATTAAATTGTAATGAAAAAAGCAGGATCAAAGCAACTAGCTTAATTGCTTTGATTGTCTTCAGCAATATTTTTTCTAAAGAAACTGATTAAGAGTGTGGGTGAGCGTTAGAATGAGGGTATTCTGTTCGCTCAAACCTATATTCACTCCCACACCCACACACATTCTAAACATTAAATATTAACATTAGAAGAATATCTTGAAAAAGTTATGCGATTAATTGGTATTAAAATATTCTGAATGATTTTTCTTATGTCTTCTTGTTCAATATAATGCGTGTATTTATTACAATCTTCTCAAATAAGCTCTTTCAACAGATTCATTGAGTATCATTCTATTTAAAAGTCTATTCAAGAGAATCATAGAATTTATGATAAGCTAATTATGTTTATTATATTTTCATTTCATTTATGATTTTCGACGAAACGAGAACAGTCGTTTTTTCATTTTCGACGAAACAAGAAAATCAATTAGCGTTTCGACGAAACGAGAACTAACCGTGTATAGAATATAAGGTGACAATACATTTCTCTATATAGAATAAATTCATTTTTCCATTTAGAAACTTAATCATTACCACAACATGTAAATAGAAAATTAAAAAAAATTTCTTGTTTATTCATTTAATTAATAGATGGTGCCAATAATCGATCTGTTGTAATGTATAAAATAATAAAATCTATTTAATTATCAACCAATCTTAATAACTTATTACAGTTTTGTACTGACACTTTAATATTCAAATAATGAATTATATCTGATTGGTTTGTGCGTTGACATTCCATGAAATACTTTCAGGCTATAACTAGTCATACATCTTGCTTTCTCTATCTGTTTGTATTTCCGGCATAATCTTTTTGAATTAGTAATCATCAATCTATCGAGAAAAAAATAATGAAGTAGATTTGATTAGATGTATTGAATGATAAGATCTATTTAACATACAGATTTATGACGCTATGTTTGACAATTTCTCTTATTACGACTTAGTAGAGTAGAGCGTCAATTATTCTATCGAATCATCGTGTTTACTTTTGATTCTTTTTTGCATAGAACGTTCTCTGTTGTTCTTCCGAAGAAAGACACCATAGGAAAAGATCGTAAACTTAGAATTTACTTTAAGTATGTTACAAAAATGAAACATAAAATTTTTTACATTTATGTGTCTTTATCATGCTATTTGTTATATACAACAAATTCTTTTTTTCTGAAAATTCAACATGAAAATAAATAGTGCACATTGATGCAGTTTTTCACGCTCTAGAAAATAAAAAATTAATTATATTTAGTATTCTCAAATTACATGAGGGATTTGTATTCTGTTCTAAGACTCATTTTCATCGAAACATCGAAAGAAAGTATTTCATATTGAGTCATAATTCTACAAAAAAAAATCATATGTCAATCCTCGGCCGATACTTCCATTCAGTTGATTTTTTCGTACGCATTCACTCTAAACTTCACTATCGTCGGTAGATTTTATGCGATTCGGCGTAATTTTTGATCATCAAGATATTTATAATCTAATTGATTTGTAAACACAATAGTACTTTATAGAAATATCTGAAATCGCTTATGTAATATGAAAATAGTACCGATCTCACTCTATCAGAGAAATTAACAGTAAACATGATCCATGAGTCATTTTCTAAAGTATGAAAAATCGCTTTCATGTACAATATTTATTTTCATATTGGATTTCGAAAAAGAAAAACGTATGGAGATCATTGCGATTATGTAAAACACAAAAGAGTGAGAGATATAAATTAGAGCTATTAGTCTTCGAAAGAATTTTGTTGCATTCAACATATAACATAGAAAACATGCATAAATGTGAAGAATTTTATGATTTATCTTACTAATATTTTGAAAGTAACATCTAAGAAGACAGCAATTCGACAATGTTATCTTAAGATGTCTTTTAGTATTCTTATTATTATATGAAATCTAGTTATAGATTTCTGCGAGTGTATCTGATCAATTAAAGCAAATTTTAAATTAAGCACATACCCTCTTATATGGAGATTCTACAAAATGAATGCTGCCTTTGATCAAGTTTGTAGATTATAAGTCATCTCCCTCCCCACATAATAGAAGCGCCTCCCGTATTAGAAGCTCCCTCCGGAAAAGTCGATCTACAAGACGTATTAGGAGACCCCCTTCATTTTCACAAATTTTTAAGAATTTTTTGAAAACTTTTATGAGTTTTTTCATAGTAAAATTTAAGAAATCGCAAGATTTTAAGGTAAAAATGTGTTAAACTCTTATTTATCAGTATGAAAATCTCAAAATCTCTTCGGAAATCTTTCGAACAATCCATAAAAACCCTGAGAACCCCTTAGCGTTTTTGAAAAATTTTACTAGCTGAAATTTTTCAAAAATCATGGGACCTAATAGAAGCCCCCTCCAACAAATTTGAACGCTCACCAGTTTAGAAGCTCCCAGGGGCTTCTATTATGGGAAGGGGTTTATATTATTATCAATATTTTGAAATTTTTTATTCTTGTTTACACGTTTAGGGAGAAGTATTTATATTAAAAATTAATGTCAACATAGTTATTTTTAAGTAAACTCAATAGCCATGGTAAAGATGGTGAAGCATACAACACATCAATTATATCTGTTATTTAGAAAATAGAGATTATTTTAAGTATTATTGTAACAAACAGTTCGATTATATTTATTTCTCAAAGTGAACATATTGATCATTTTGAAGTATTTAAATTTAAATCATTTTTTAGTAAATTATTGGGTATGTTATGGTTTTCTTATTAATTTTATCAAAATATTATTTTCTTTTGTAAAGATATAGATAATTTCAAAAGTCTTGGTAAAATGTTAGATAATTATGTCGTAGCTTGGTTGAGGCTGAAAATTTACGGTGTTCATTATCATCCGCTAAAATTTGTCTGAACTA